ACATCACATTCGGAAATTATCAATTTGGTTTTCTAGCGGAAAAATCAACAATTGATGAAATTCACATCCTTCGGCAACTGCAAGAGAAGTACCTCGCAAAGCATCAACAACTATCACACCTTTTGTAGACCTTGAAAAAGCATTTGATCGAGTACCCCGTGAAGCAATCAGGTGGAGTCTACGTCGACAACTCGTTCCAGAATATCTTGTTCGACTTGTGATGGAAATGTATACGAATACTAAGACTCTTGTCAGCACAACGGTTGGAAACACAGATGCATTTGACATCGGCGTTGGAGTTCACCAAGGCTCGATTCTCAGTCCACTGTTATTTATAACTGTGATGGAAGAAATCACAAAACCGATACGCACTGGTGACATTTGGAATCTAGTATATGCTGATGATATCGTTTTAACAGCCACGTCTGAGCAGAATTTAGCACAGATGTTTGAAGATTGGAACACCAGACTCGCCGATCATGGATCATGGTCAACATCAGCAAAACCAAAGGACTGAACACTGGTGAACCCATCCAATCCACAGCTACAGGACAATGGCCCTGTTCAGTTTGTAGCTGGTGTAGGTAACAATTGAATCAATGTAACCAGTGTAACCAGTGGTGTCACAAACGTTGTTTAAAAATAATTGGTAATTTATCTAAAGTGTCTAATTTGTTTGTCCTGCTTGCATCAATCCACAACATCAAATTCGAAATAGCACTGTATTTGAAGCCATTAAGGTAGAAAAAGTCACATCGTTTCAATATCTAGAGGAAGCTGCCGTTCGAGCACGCATACGTGCAGCCTGGAATAAATGGCATCTCCTGCCTCTATATTGATGCGGCGTGACATCCCACTGTCACTACAATCAAGACTTTATACGTCCGGTGTTGTTATATGGTGCAGAAACATGCCCAATGACAACCAAACTGTAACAACAACTTCAACGAACCGACATAAAAATGCTCCGATGGATGCAACGAATTAGTCTGAAGGACCACATCAAATCTACCGAAATCTTGCGTCGTGCTGGTTTAGATGATGAATGCCGGCAACACCGTCTGCGGTGGTTTGGTTATGTCAAATGAAGTGGAAACAGTGCCATAACTTCTCTTGCAAATGTTGAAGTACCTGGCACACGTCCCAAAGGCCGTCCAAAGAAGTCCTGGTCGCGAACAATCGAGCAAGACATGAAAGCTCTAAATTTAAATGAAATGGATACAATTGATCGTCTAATTTGGCGCAAAAAGTTGATGGCAAAGAAAACAACGTCCTACCTCGGGGAACCGGGTCTCTGGACGCAAAACGAAGATTGATTGATTGAAATAAGTTGTATATTCAAGTAAAAATTTCTTTTTGAGCTTATAAAAAACTTTGCTAGCAAAAAACCACACAACCATCTACAAATATTTCCAATAAAATTTTAGAAAAAAGGTTACGGTGTAAGATGAAATAAATTGTAAAATCAATAAAACTAGCATTGTGTTGTAAACGTAAAAAAGCTGTTTGCAAAGCTTGTAGTGAAGAAAGTTATTTTTAATAATAACACTGGTGTGCCTGATATCAGATATTTCTAATAGATTTCAGTGTGCGGATTTCAAATTTGTAATCCATTTTTTACTATCACGTACAGTTTTTACGTAATTCCAAAAAATGGGTTATAACATCACATAACCGAAATACATTACATAATCCAGATAACGTCGGATATTTCAATGATATAATCTAATATATTTGAGCATGTATTTGCTATATATTCATTACTCACATAATATTGTATACAGACACACTAATATGTATATGGAATTGCTTATATCATCAATATCTAGGCCTGTCCATTTAATTAAAATAAATTCATTATTTAGCATTGAAATTTCTACTCATATGATTTAACATGGCTACAAGGGTGGTAGGAAAAAACATCACCCGGATAAAAGTTCACCTGCTAAAAATGCAGAGAAAAAACATCACCCGGATAAAAAATCACCCGGATAAAAAATCACCCGGATAAAAAATCACCCGGATAAAACATCACCTGAATAATACATGACAAAATTTAATATAAAATATAAAACTTTTACAATCGATGACAAGCGTCTCCAATTTATATTCTATTTAAAAATTTAAAAACTTTTTTTAAATAGAATTATTTGCTGCGCACAATAATTTGGTGCACTAATTACCGCCTTGACGTCGTTTGATTGGCTGTAGGATTTGTCTGCTTTTGTTAAAATAGTCTCAAAAATTTGTTTGGTTTTGCAGCAAATGTAGAACTTTGCTATTGAATTTCCCATTGAATTTGTTTAATTTAGACAAGTTTGATGAGTGGGTATTGTAGACATTTCAATAAGCTATCAGATAAATATCATAACTCATTTTTGGCAAAAAAAATGTGTCTGGTTTTGTAATATAGCTCCTCATTTATACTAATTTAACTGTTATCATGGAATTTATTAGAAACAACAAAGGTGGTTTGCAACTTTGCTATAATGGGTACGCCTTCAACAAAAAAAATAACAAAAAAACAACAGTAAGATGGCTATGCAGCAAACATAGTTCATTGAAATGCAATGGATCGGTTGTCACAAACTTAGAAGTGAGTAAATCTTTATTTTATTTAAATTGTAAAAATTACAAATATAAGTTAATTAAACTTAGTAATTAACAATATTAACTACCTTTATTTCAATAAATGTTTTCATATTTTTCTATGTTACAAGATAATAAAGACCTCATAAATAAATGTATTTTATGGTGTTGTTTGTAATGCGTTTTTATCAATATTGTTCTGTTTTGTAGATGAATGCAGTATTAAGTGTCACACCTCATACACATCCATCGAGTGAATCAGAAATTGAAAAACTCAAAGTAATCAACAGGATGAAACAAGCTGCATGTTTAGTGTCAACGTCGAAACCAACACACGTATACGCATCAGAATTGGTCAGCATGAATGAAGATGTCAAAAGAAAATTAACTTCAAAAGACCACATGACAAGGAGACTTAGATATCAAAAAAGAAAACATTTTCCAAAAGAACCTGAATCTGCGACAGATTTGAATATTCCGGACGATTTTAAAACAATTAGTAGCACAAGTGACACGCCGTTCCTCATGTACGATAATGGAATAAATTCAGAAAATCGTTTGATTTTGTATTCATGTTTGAACCAGCTAACGATTCTTTCAACTCATTCAAGGTATATAACTACCGATATAAATATATGTTGCTAGATAATATATTATATTAATATATAATAATATTATTTTTCAATATATAATAATTATTTTAAATGTTTTTAGATGGTTCATGGATGGAAATTTTTCGTTATGCCCAAGGATTTTTCATCAAATTTACATAATTCGCATCCAAACGAGAGATGATTTGTACATAACATGCGTTTATGTTTTAATGACAACCAAAACTCAACAAAGCTATGAAGAATTATTCAGAGCTTTGAAGGATGTTGCACAGAGACATCAATTAACATTACAACCAACTGATGTTATGATTGATTTCGAAATTGCCCCCCGGAGAGGAATTCAAGACGTGTTTGGTCACCACGTTCAGATTAAAGCATGTTTTTTTCATCTGACACAAAGTTCCTGGAGGAAAATTAATGAACTTGGATTAAGTGCGACTTATAAGCAAAATGAAAACATAAGACACTTTGTAGGAATGGTCGATGGGCTCGCCTTTCTACGAATCCAAGATGTGGAAGAAGGGATAATTTATTTGTTAAATAACATCCCAAATAATGATGACGACATAAGAAAATTTGTCAATTATTTTGATGAATTTTATTGTCGTGGAAAATTAAGAATAGTGCCCGGCAATAATCCACTCACCATACTTTTGAGGAGGACACCACCAGTATTTCCCCCTGAACTTTGGAACATGAATGAAATAACAGTTAGTGGGAATGCTCGAACAAACAATATTTGCGAAGGCTGGAACAGTTCTTTTAGGAGTTTAGTGGGCCATTCTAACCCGTCAATTTGGACCTTACTGAGAGCTTTCCAGTTAGACAGATCGATGAATATCAATGCATTTAATCAACTTCAAGAAGGTCGACCAACCTTGAAAAAAACATCTCAACACACAATTAACCATCAACGAAGATTGCGAAACATTTGCAACGATCTGAATAATGAGTTTGTTACCATACCCATAGCTTTACAAGCGATAGGACATACCATACTACTTAAAAGAGATTACGATTACATTTAAAAACTCTGTTTTTAATACTTAATTTGCAATGATTTCTCCTGTTTACAATTATACAATGCATCTTTTATTAGTAATTTTATCAATCAATCAAATCAATCAAAATACATTTATGTAGAGCAGTTTCCCAAATTCAATTGCGCTCAAACTAAACTAGCAAAATAAACCACCTCCGTCAAGAAAATAAAATAGGAATAAAAATTGAAATAAAAAAAACACAGCATTTAAAAATACATTAAAGAGAATCATATGATAGATTAATAACAGTAATAATTTTAGTTTTTAATCGGATTGGGTGATGTTTTTTCCGGGTGAAGTTTTTTCATGGTGATGTTTTATCTGGGTGATGTTTTTTCCGGGTGAATTTTTATCCAGGTGATGTTTTGTCCTCTAACTTTTTTGGGGTGACTTTTTATCCAGGTGATGTTTTTTCCGATTACCGGCTACAAGTTCGAGATGTTGTTTGAATTCTCAAAATTCGTTTTTTTATATTTGTAGAAGAAGCAAAGGCTTTTTATCAAATCTATCAATAGATTTGTGAAAAAGATTTATCATGCATACTTTAATATTAGGTGATCAAGAAAAACCATGGACACCTAATTGTATAAAGGACATGTGTAGAAGGACTAAGAAGTTGGGGAAGAGGTTTGAAAATTCTTGATGTTTTGGAATTCCAATGATTTGGCGTAAACCCAAAAATCACCAGACGATTGTTACTTCTGCATGGTAAACACCAAAGGTTTTAACAAGAATAAAAAAAATTTATCATATCCTAATTTGCCTTCAGCTTTGAGACCATTAAATTTCCTAAGTTGGTTGAACCAAATAGAATACTCCTGCCTTCTCTCCATATGAAACTTAGACCCGTTAAGGCCCTCTGGATTTATTTATTAAGCTTCAAATAATTTCAATGTAACTTGTAAATGGGTCTATATTTTTTTTGGTATATGTTGATATGAATGATATATGTAGGTATGAGGTTCAGTTAAAAATTCTGATAATGATGCTTTGGTGATTTAGTACAAACATATTTCGTAAAATTAAAAATCCTTTTTTACTTTGCTAAATTTTTTTTGCAAGTTGAATAAGCTGTACATTAAGAGTACAAATTAGACAGCATTAAGAGTACATTAAGAGTACAAATTAGACAGCATTTAAACCAACAGTAGGAATTATAACCATTGAAACATGAAATGTCAAAACACAGTGAAATGTTGAAATCCTGGACCATAGTTATTGTTGTGACATTCTGCAAACTCACTGGACTATGCTTTACAATAAAGAGGTTTTATAGTAGGGAGAAGATTAACAATGTATCAAGAAGCTGGCTTTGTTTAAATTATGATAACTAAAAACGTGATCGATCTAATATAAAAAAAAATAATACAAAATTCAAATAATTAAATAGTAAAGAAAGTTAAAAAAAAACCCAAAACATTTTAAAACTAACACATACTCTAGATAACCTAGATTTGCTGCTGGCCGGCCCAGCTGATTCATTTCTTAGGAAACTTACAGGAGTTACTGTTCTTTCAATGGCTGATCGTCTTATTTGTAAAAAATAATATCGTTAATAAATATATGTTATTTATGTTATACATAATCATATATATAATTTTCCAAAAGTTTTTCCATGTCTTGATGTTTTCCGGTTAAGTTATAAATATATATATTAACGGTTCAAAGAATAAAGGTCATTTTGTCTTTTGCACTTACTTCAGAGGTGTCAACGACAAACACACACAGCGTATATGAATACGCCTGAAAACAACGCATCATACACATTTCATATCTGTATGATGCCAAATCACTGTCGTCTTTAACCATATTCTTTCACGTATTAACCAACGAAGATTAGTTTATTATTGTATCATTTGGGGTCATTTAATAATGACGATAAAAATGGTTTAAAAAAAACAAACGTAAAATACAAAGAGATGTTGTAAATACTACTGATCACAAATGCGACATTTGCGTCATCAGTAGTTTAGCAACTGAAGAGTTTGGTGAAACCGACAAGCATTGTCATGGTTTTGGTCTGATGTTTTAAAACGTTTTATAAAATCCTGCGAGCAGCGTTTGTCTATTTAAACAGAAGAAAAAATTGAAATTATAGCGACTGTTTATCTTAAACCAGTTTTAACGTGTCGGCAAAACTAAATTAAAACACCAAAAAACGAAAGTTAATAAAAACTGAAAAAAATATATAAACCTTCCGTCAATGCTGAAAGATAATGGAGTAGGAGCAATTTCAGTAGTGCTGTGCGATCTGACTGTTTTTTTATCATTTAAATCATTTCTAATATAGCCAGTTGAGTAGCCCTACAAATTAGTTGTAATTTGTTTAAAAATTAATTTTTTTTACTTTCAAGAAGTGTTAAAATAAAAGTTATTATTATCTTAATACAATACAATATCCAATAAAATGGATTGATGCAAGCTGACGTTAAGCTGACTACACACACCTCGGCTAGTTTTTATTTACATAAATCGCAGTCTTTTGTTCAGTTTTTTATTCAGTCTTGTATCTTTGCTCTATAAAATATTATTCTTTTTTTTATGATTTGAAAAATCAATATGCGAGTCGACTGTTATATGAAAAAAACTTTTTATTTCAAAAAGATGTTCTTTCATTTCCTACTGTGGTTAACGTTCCGAGCATTGCTGTTGCGGTGACCGGGTTGATTCGGGCTGATGCGTTGATTCTCGTGTATTTATATACACCGCGTGTCTGTTGTAATAATAATGCGCCACATTTGCTAGACATTATTTTTACATATTATTGTTAGAAAATATACTGCAGTGAAGTTAGCCAACTTTACTAAGATAGGCGAGAACCACTTGGGAGTCACATATCTTCGGCCCACTTAATTAAATAATCGGATAACTATGTAGGTTCATAACATCAGTAGTTTACAGAACGGCAACGGTATTTAAATAAATCTTTTCACAAATCATCACCAATCTGCTTATCGCTAATTATATATATATATTACTATATTTATATATATTATATTTATATAATATTATAACATTGTATATATGTTATACATTATATGTATATATATTATTGTAACCCTAGAATCTCGCAACTACCAATACAGGGGTTATAACGTCAAAGATCTCTATATTTCCAACACCAGTGTTGTAGGTTCCAACGATCGTCAAGTGTTCGTTATTTCGTAGGTTTAAGATTTCCGATAGATGAACAAAACTGCTTCAAACGCAAACTTGTTGAACGGTTATTTGAAACCAACAATTGAAATAATAAACTGTTCCAAGTAAATCACATTTACGACTTCGCTTTCTTTTTTGGAAACCTGACAGTCAACTTACGCAGACTGACTTTACAAACATAGATACAATACTTTTTTACACTGTATGGTTTACAATCCAAAGATTACTAATATAGCTAAGATAACAATAATTGAATAATAAATAATATAGCGCATTTCGATCATTCCCACGGTTATAAATATGTAAAAAAGTTCACTGATTTATTAATGTTTATCAACTTACATTCGTATTTCTCGATTCAATACTAAATTTTTATCAACAAAATTAAGTCTGCTTAAAATTGAAACTTTATTACTATTATCAAAATTATTTATTACTATATATTACTATTATTACTTTATTACTATTTTATTAAAATTATTGCAGACGTTATCGTCACCGTCAGTGCATTTATTTATTTTAAATTATTATTGTTTTAATATATAAAAAACATGTACAAATAAATAGGAAAAAGAAACATGAAATTCAAATGAAAAATTTACCAAAGAAAAAGGTGGCAACAACAATGTAAAAATTGTGAGGCGCGAAATTAATTCAAATTATTATTATTGTTGTTATTATCACTATTGTCTCAGCATCGTCATTATCATATTGCTGGTAGACCCGATTAAGGTTACTGTTGCTAAATCTTCATTGAAAGTGTTGTCGTGATTCGTTGTTGGATGTTGCTGGACGTTTGAAGATGCGCACAGTCATCAAGAGAACAAAAAATTTCCAACTTTTTCATAACCATGAAATTTAAAAAAACGATAGAAGGTAGAAGATGTTTACAAAAAAATCTCATATTTGGCATTTTTCATCAAGAAGGCATTACACAGCTTGTAAGGGGCAAATAACCACTTTTGACATCTTCACTTCTAGACATAATGTTCAATTTGTCAAAATCTATCCAGCGCTATTCTGAAACTTGTAATTATTGGTTAATCTGACAACATCATAAGGAAGACCTTTCAGTCATTGACTATTCTATTAGTATAGCAAATTTTCTAACAACCTAGATTATTTAAATTTAAATTGGTTCAACATTAGAATGCGTTGTAATTTTTTCATAAGTTTTAATTAAATTATAAATTTTTGATATGTTTAAACATTATGTTTGATATGTTTAAACATTAATCAATCTTCGTTTTGCGTCCAGAGACCCGGTTTCCCGAGGTAGGACGTTGTTTTCTTTGCCATCAACTTTTTGCGCCAAATTAGACGATCAGTTGTATCCATTTCATTTAAATTTAGAGCTTTCATGTCTTGCTCGATTGTTTGCGACTAGGACTTCTTTGGACGGCCTTTGGGACGTGTACCAGGTACTTCAACATCTGCAATATCAAAAAACAACTGATCTTTCAAAATAAAAACAGCCAGGCTGCTCCTTAACAAACCACTTTGCTTTAGTTTTTCCATCCTCTTTCCAATTCTTTTCTGGCTTTCGGTTTCAACCTGTCGAACATCGTCAAAATTCGCGATACGTCTACAAACCTCATGCATACCATAAAGTTTTCCGCGGATACTAGACAGGCTATTTGAATATTTATATCCAACCCGTTTTGGATGTCTGCCTCTCGAGATATTACAATGTTCCTTGATGAGTCTTTTTCTTTGAAAAAATATCATTTCAACCTGTGCTTACAGGATCAGAAGCCACTCTAAAGAAGCGGTGCATGTAGCTCCAAATAAATTTCCATATTATTATTATTAAATAGCTTTTTATAATGTGCCACTAATTGCTTAAGAGAAGCATCAGAAAAATGTTTCGATAATTTCCTTCATTAAGTAACAAGGCCACGATTGTGCTGCACACTGCATGGAAATTGCATGCAGTGTGCGGCACAATCATGACCTACAAACTGTGGTTTAGTTAAACAAATGTTAGGATAGCGCTTAGGATGTTTGGAACGAATTGCCTATCGAGGTGAAACAAAGTGGCTCACGATAAGGTGTGAGGAAAAATTAGATATAATGGTAAACACAAAATAAAAAATTTAAAATTTTTCCAAAATCACGAACTCAAACAAACTAATAACAATCATACAAATAACGTACAGCATTATCTAGAAGTCTGACAAGTCCTTGGAACTGGACATCGGCTGTTTTCCATGAACTATTTTTTAGCTGATCACCAGCTGGATGTTGCTTCATAAGTTCATTAACTGTACTCATAGTATCATATGATGCAAAATGCATGTTGTCTAATCCAAATGGAAGAAGGTTGAGCTTAATTTTTAGAAAGTTCAACGTCAAAAAATTCAGAAAAGATTTTGAATATTAAAACAAGAAATAATTTTACGAACAAAAAAAAATTTATTAACACTAATTACAACGTTTTTGTCAAAATAATTGAAACCAATTATAAAAAGCTAAATAACGACAGTGTTCGGTTTCTGCTAAATTATTTTTTGCGGCTGAAGTTTTGGTTTCTAAAATAGGCCTTATTTTTATGAGTTTTCACTTTCCATATAGTAACTTTTTAACTGTGTATATCAAAATTTGTGTTTTTAACTAAAAATAGTAGTAATTAAGTTGAATGCAATAAATTATATATAACGATAACGACATATAACGATCAAAGGTTCGGTTTCGGCCAAATAATTCGGCATCGGCCAGAGTTTGGTAAAACCGTAACTTATTTTCACGAATTTTTAAACAGGTTTTAAACAAGTTTTTCATTATCAAAATCTGTGTTTTAAACTAAAAATAGTAGCTGTGTACATTAATTTACATACATTATAAGTAGATTGGATTTTTTCAAATTTAAATTAACTCAAATCTGGTCGGAGCCTGATATGTGCATTTGTTACATTTTATCTAACTTACTTTCCTATTAATAAAAAACAAGCAGTTAACTAAAATTTATTACAAATTGAATTTATGCCTCTACATCAATTATCGTAAATATTATTATACACAAGCAAACATACTTTAAAACATAAGCATGTAATGCAGACATTACAATACAAATTTCTCAATGGTAGTGATTGGTTTTAATGTCTGGTAATTAAGATAATTCAGATGTAACATCAATCAGATGGTTCAAGCAATACAATCGTATTTTATCACGATTCAAATCATTTTGTATATATACAATGTACTCAATAATATACACTTATTTACATGTCAACAAACAAATTCGTGCATTCATACGTACATACACATTCAAACAAATCCAGCTTTCGGCCTGGAAATTCGGCCTGGAAATTCGGCCTGGAAAAAACCTAACCTAAGATTTTTCAATTTTGAACATCAAAGATATGTATACTTTAAAAATCTTTGTAATTTATTAAAATATTTTGCTAATGTGTTTTGTTTTTATTAGATTTTTGATTCGACATTTGTTGATGGCAAGTTGAAAATGTTTTACGTCTCGATGTACGGTAAATATTTTAACATTTAAGTTTCGGCTTCGGTTTTGACCGAAACTTGGGATGATGGCTTCGGTTTTGACCGAAACTTGGGATGATGGCCGAAAGTTCGAATTTGATTTCAGTTGAAACCAAAATTCTAGTTTTATAAAAAACTATAAAAAACTAAATTACTTGAATGTCAATAGCATTCATCATGCAGTATGTCAAGTAGAAGACTTCTTCAATAGAACCACCTCCAATGTAAACTCCAAAATTTCGAACAACAACGATCTACATAATTTTAAAAATTATTTTAGAAAAAAAAATTGATAACTGCTTTGAAAATATTTGTTTGATAAAAAACTTTGTTTGAATCAAAGTAATTGTACAACATGTATAAAAAAAAACTAAATTTTGCAATAAAATGAATATAAGAAAAAATAAGAAAGCTAGACAACTCATTCAAAAACAACTTAATTTAAAAATTGAATATAGCGAATGATTTCAAAAAATGGAGGTCAAGAAGAAGAGGTTTAGGGTGTGGAGAAGGGACATGACGGGAGAAGCGGAATTTGAGTACAGGAAGGCTAAGAAGGTTGCAAAACGGGCAGTGGCAACTGCAATGACGAAAGCATCAGATAGGTTAATAAAGGAAATGGAATTTGATGTGAGTTCGAGGAAAATGTTCAGAGTAGCAAAGCAGTCAATGAGGGATAGCAAAGATGTTACAGGGAATGGATATGTTTGGGATGCATCTGGCAAGTTGTGCATAGATGGGGAAAAAAAAGCTCAGGTATGGAAAGCCCATATGGAAAGGTTGATGAATGAAGAAAATGAGTGGGATGGAGATGTGGAATCCGCGGTCACACACGGACTCATAGAGAAGATGACGATGGAGGAAGTAGAGAAAGAAGTTAGAGGAATGAAACTAGGTAAGGCGACAGGGGCTTCGGAAGTGGCGGCGGAACGAGTGTGGTGATAGTAATTGAAGTTATGATGAGAACAGTATGTTTGATGATGAAGGTATACC